AGACCTCTGCAGTATTGTTTCTGGGAGTGGGTGTGCCCTGAATGCACAACCAGTGTGAAAGTTTTATGTATGAAAATCATACCAGTGTGAACTTGTGGTGTGTCTCACTGGCCTTCTCAAGGAGGAAGCTTTCCCCCTGGCTTGAGGAGAGTCTCTCTGCTGTGGGCAAAAGAGCCTCACCATATCCACGGAGCAGACAGCCGTGAGGGCTGTCTCACTGGCCAGCTAAGTAGTGCCCAAAGTTTATGACATGCAGAAAGTTATGATACATGACTCTCGCAGCTGTTAAGGGGTCCTAGTCATTCTGTGCGAGGCAGCTAAGATGGAATACAGTCTCACTGCAACTTGATTGGTTACTCCAACCTTTTGCCATTTGATGTCTAGGCCAAAGCACTTCTTATTTACTTCCTAGGCCCTGGCCCTGTGTTCACCAGGAGCAGGTAGGAACCAGGGTGCTTTCACTGTGTATCCCAGTGGTCCGCATTGTAGCCATGAGCAGCACCTGCAGGGAGCTTATACACTTGCTGCGTGATGACCACTACTCGCTCTGTGTGACCTCTCATTGAGGCCAGCATTTTTCCATGCTAACAATCCTTTATCAGGCACATGGTGGTGCCTACGACCAGAGCAAGAGAACAGTTGGCCTACAAGTCCTCAGAAGAGTGCTTCCTGCATAGCTGGCAGAGTGATGACATTTGGACGGCATTGCTGACCACACCTTGAGCAGTCCACTTACGTGAAATTAGGCATTGCAGGTTCAGCCTGGGCCTAAAGATGGACTGAATTTCAGGCGAATGCCTCACAGTAGGAGAGAGGGTTCACATTGCTCTTCGTAGGTTCTCAGTGTTCTATGCAAGTCAAAAGAGGTGAAATTCAGGCTCACTTCAAGACTGTCTCCTGGATCTTGGTGTGCTATTTGCTATCTGTAGCAAGGTGGGTGGACTGCACGTCTAGGCCCTGTTCATTTCCCCACCAGTTGCAATCTAAAGGGACGGCAGGCTGATGAACTCATGAACCATTCCATTGCACGTGGTTGGCCTCAAGCTGGGGTTCGTTTGAGCCCATGGCAGCATCAGTAAAACCAAAAAGTTTTTAGGAGGCATCCATGGATGTCCTGTGACTCATCTCTCAGCTGGCTGGCTAGAGCCTGGAGCGCTTCTCGCACAATGGTACGAGCGAGGGCTCCATGAGCTCCTGAACCATGCTAGGGCTTTTGAGGGAGGCAGGGAGGGTGAAGAAAGACTGAGATATCAGAAACCCGTGGGTCACCTGGGGGCCTTTTGCCTACTGAGTCCCTGTGGGTCTTAATGAATGGCAATGCCCTGCTCACTTTTCTACCAGGTTCTGTCCTGAGCGATGCTTTCTCTCTGATTGTATAACCATTCCTTTTCCAAGGGCTGTATGCAGGCTTTGGAGAGCAGGAGTGCCCGGCCTGCCCATTGGTCATACCGATTC